GGAACAAACGCCACACGTACCTTCGTCCCCCCCCCCCCCTCCCCCTGTCCCCCGCCCAACCTCTTGTTCACATGTTGCCCAGCAAATCCTACACAACCTCAAGCCACGTGTTCTCAAGATGTGCACGGAGAGAGATTTTCTGCAGCAATACATCGTCTGCACATCAAAAATTCTTATCGAGGCACGCTGTCCGTGCAGCCACCGGCGCGCGAAAGCAAAACAGCCACGCCCCCTCCCACCGAGACCTCTCGTGCCCGCACCTCAAGGGGCGGGATCTGTACCCGCCGCCTAGCCGGAACCGCGTCCTTCTTCTTCGCCGCCGCCCCCTTCGCCGCCGCCCCCCCCTCCGCCGCTGTCGTAGTAGCCGTATCTGTGTCTGCTGTAGCCGCGGCGGTGGCAGCAGCAGCAACGCCTCCTTGCTCCTCCTCCGCCTTCGGGGGGGGCTTGATGCCCGCGGCGTCCCAGGCACCCTGCAGAACCAGCTCCACCTTCACGGGAGCGGTCGGCAGGCATCCCCGGGCGCCGCCTCCGCCTCCGCCGGTTTCTTTCGCCCAATCAGCGAACGACGATACCTTTGTTGTTCGCGCGGAGGGGGGAGGGGGGGGTTCTCAATCCTTAGTTGTTACAGCATGCGTCCTCGAGAGGAGGGGCGATATTGCTACCACATGACCCATCACCGTTCCTTCCTACTTCGCCAAGGGTGGCTCAAAAATGTTTCCCCTAGCAAAATATTTTTGTGGTGGGCGGCGAGGGGTTGGCAACAAAAGCAGCAGCAGCAGCAGCAGCAGTGGCAGCAGCGGCGGCAGTGGCATCAGACAAGCCAGTAAGTTCTGCCCGCACCCTTGCCCACAGGCAACCTTTTGTCCTCGCTCAGTCACCCTCGAAGCAACACCGGGGGCATCAGGCAAACAAGTAAGTTGCACTCAAAATGCCCGCGCCGACAACCAAATGCGCGCTCGCTCATTCAGCCAAAAAAACGAGGGGCGACAACAGGCAGCAGTCTACAAGACGCCTCACGCGCTTTTGCGCTTTAACCGCAAAGAGGTGGCAATCGTTTAGCCACGTATGTGACATAAATTGACGCAAAACGGAGCCACTTCATGCCGCAACTGCTGCTCCGAGTGAGGGTCCGCACGGAAGAAAAACGAACGAACGCCCTGTGGATGTGTGTGCGTTGTCCCATGTACCGTGGACGTCAGTGTCGACACCTTTCGCAATATCTTCTGGGCGAATCAACCGGGGTCGTCGAAAACGACGAGGAACGCCGCGTATTAGCATTTTTCTTCTTCTTTCCCGGCTTGCTTCAGCCGGAAAACAGAGTTAACGTTACGAAGGAGAGTCCGGGGTCGACCCCTGAGAGATATGTCCTCAAAAAAGCGCACACAGCGACGCTATTATCTCGTTTCGAGGATGATTTTTCTGGATCCACTCTTTTATTTCCGTTCGTTTATTTCTAGAAAGGCGTACCACCCTTTTGGGGGGGGTGGTTGGCTTATGTCCCCGCGGAAGTCGCCCGCGTCGGTTGGATCAGTACAGCAGATATCAGAGGGTACTGAGCGAATGTTTTTCAAGGTTATGACAAAAAACAGCGAAGCTGATGCGAAAAGCGCACTTCGCCGCACATAGACACACTATTTCCTCACCTTCCACAACGGTGGCGACGCCTTCGCCTCTCCTGCACCCAGGGGGCACGCGGCAACCGAACTAAAGCCCGCCATTTCCCGCCACGACCGTTGCTTCCACCCCTCCTCTTGGGGCTCCACGTCGCTGCTGTCGGCATCATCGGCGCCCCCGCTGCGGTCTTTGCCAGCCAGGCCGCCGCCACCCTCGCCCTCCCTGCCCTTCCCGTTGGCTGACGCTTTCGACCCCTTCCTCCTCCACGCCCCGGGCTCCAGGTCCATGGCAAGCCTCGCCTTCTTTGTCGCCGCGCGCACCTGGGAGTGATCGAGCCTCGAGGCCAGCTTTCCCTTGCTTCCTTCCGCTGCGCTCGGCGCCAGCGCGGCGCTCTTGCACCCCTGCCCGCTGATAACCAGGTCCGACGTCTTCACCGCTGAGCCGGTTGACTTGGTCATGTTTTTCAGACTGCCATTGGTGAAGGCGGCGATGCCGTAGCCCCCGGCGGTCAGCCCCGACCCGCGCGAACCCGGCCTCCCCGCCGCCGCCGCCCCGAGCTTCCGGGCCCTAGCGCCGGCCCTCCCTCTAGCTCCCCTTTTCCCCTTGCCGCCTCTCTTCCCATCGCCGGACTCTGCGGAGTCGACGTCGCTGCTGCTGCCGTCCTCGTCGTCAACGTCATCATCGTCATCATCGTCGTCATCGTCCACTTCCGACGGTACCGTCGCCGAAGAACCTTCCGAGACGTTTCCGCCGCCGGTCCCGTCCTCCCCAGAGTCAACCTCGGTGGCCGCAGCGGCGGCGGCGGCGGCGAGAACGGCGGCGGCCTTTGTCGCCGCCTTCCGCTTCCTGACCTTGCCGGTGCCGGCGCCGCCGGTCCCGTCCTCGTCGCTGTCGGGGGCGTCCGAGTCCTCGTCAAACTCGCCGTAGGCCGGCTCGGGGGGGTTGGGGTCGCAAACCGCGTTGTCGACGTGGTACTTCCATCCCCCCTTGGTCTTGTAGGTCTTGTGGCACCTCTCGCACGTGACCGGCTGGAAGAGCGCCAACTTTTTTTTGGAGCCGTCGAGGGTGCGCGGGAATCGGTACCGGGAGCACGTGCAGTTCAGCCGAGGGAAAGGGGGATGGGGTGTCTGTCTGTCTGTCTGTCTGTCTCTCTCTCTCTCTCTCTCTCTCTCTCTCTCTCTCTCTCTCTCTCTCTCTCTCTCTCTTGCCTCTATACCAGTTCTCTTTGTCTGTCTCTGTCTCCCTCTTTCTCTCTGTGTCCGTCCCCGTCTTGTTTTCTGTCTCTTTCTCTTTTCTACCTCTCTCTATCTATCCGTCTGTCTCTGTCTCTCTTTTCCCTCTCTTTCCCTCTCTTCAACATCCCGGGGGGCAACATTCCCTTCGTCAAACAAAACTCACGTTGTTCGCGGCCTTCTCAGCCGTGCCCATGTCCACCCCCAAGTCTTCTAGCACCGGAAACGGAGGCGAGTAGTGCCCGACCTCCTCCTCCACACCCCCCGGAGGAAGAGGAACTCTTTGCTTCCCGTTCCAGTAGACGCCATGGCTGTCACGCATCTGTTTCAAGGTCTTATTGCACACTTGATGCTTGATGTGGTAGCTGGGAACCCCAGAGGACGGGGGCGGACAAGGAGGCGGGGGGAGGGGGGGGGGGGGTACTCATGTTTTGCATGCCCCAGGGTCGTCGTTGCTGGCAGAGTTAAATCAAATAATTGGCTATGCCCCCCTTCGTAGCGAAGCACAGCCACCTCCTTACAAGTGCTTCGTCTTGAACACACACTCCAAAGTCCCGTTGGGGTCTTCGGTGAATAGAGTTATGTCAGAAACATCCAACCACAGCAGCACGGTCAACAAGGATCGCCGTGCAGGCTTGACGCACTTACATGGCGCCCCGGAACCCTCTCAAGTGCGTTCCGCATCGCTTGCAGGTCCACCCCTTGAAGGATGTCGACAGGCGCTTCGCGGTCTTGGGGGTGGCGGACCCAGGTCCGCTCTTCCGGCCCTTCTGCTTCTTGTCCTTGGCGACTTTCTTCTCGTCTTCCGGCTCGGAGGGGGAGGAGGAGGAGGAGCGTTTCTTCCTCTTCTTGGCGATGGGTTTCGCTTTCTTTTCGTCGTCGTCGTCTTCTGTCAGCCCTTCCTCTTCGTAGTCGCTGTCCCCTGTGCTTGCGCCCTCCTCCTCCTCCTCCTCCTCCTCCTCCTCCTCCTCTTCCTCCTCCTCCTCTGGCTTCTGACGCCCCTTCTCCTTCTTCTTCTTCTTCTTCTGGTCTGCCGCCGGCTTTGCTGTCCGCGAAACGCGCCCGCTACCACGCCCCCGACGACTCCCGGTGCCTCCTGCCCCAACCCCGCCACCACGCCCCCTACCCCGCCCTTTGCCGACGGCTCTCGGCGAACCTTTCGAGCTCGCCGTGTCTGTCTCCGACCCTTTCCTCCGGCCTCCCGGGGGAACTTTCCCCTTGCCCTCTTTCCCCGGCCCCACTGCTGCGGCTAGAACTTGAGGCTTTACCGTCTTGGTCGGGCGACCGCGCTTCGGCTTCGGCTTCGGCCGTGTCCTGAAGTAGTCCGTCTCCGTATCCCAGCCCTCCTCCTCATCTGAATTCTGCGGCGCTTCCTTCTCCGCCTTCGCCTTCCTCTCCCGCCGACCCTCTTCGTTGCCCGCCTCCGCTTCATTCGGCGGAGCAGCGGCAGCAGCAGCAGCCTCCCTCGGGGATGCTTCCTTTCCTTCCGCCTTCTTTTTCGGGGGGCGACCGCGCCCCCGGCGGGGCGGCTCCGCCTTGTTGCCACGTTTTGCGGCAACGGACGGCGACGGCGGCGGCGATGGTGATGCGGGGGGTGACGCAGACAGTGATTTTCGCGGTCTGCCGTGCTTCTTGCCTGCCGGCGGAGCTTCGGCCGCCGGATAAGCGGCAGCAGCAGAAGCCTCCCTCGGGGATGCTTCCTTTCCTTCCGCCTTCTTTTTCGGGGGGCGACCGCGCCCCCGGCGGGGCGGCTCTGCCTTGCCGCCGCCTTTAGCGGCAACGGACGGCGACAGCGGTGGCAGCGGCGGCGATGGCGATGCCGGGGGTGACACAGACTGCGATTTTCGCGGTCTGCCGCGTTTCTTGCCCGCCGGCGGAGCTTCGGCCGATGGTGGCGGCGACGGCGACGGCGATCGATTCTTGCGCGGTCTGCCGCGTTTCTTTCCGGGGGGAGCTGCTACCACCGCCGGTTCGTCGTCGGACGACGTTGACGCTGCCGCAGCCGCCTTCCCACCTGGTAGACTGGCGAGGGGGGGGGAGGGGGGGGGGGGTACTCATAGTCGGGCATGCCGTAGTCGTTTGACCATTGACCTCGCATCCCTACAAAGCCGGGACGGAGCACGCCGGGTTCTCACCGGACCAGGCTCTC